CATTTGCCGGAAATAGGATTTCCTCCGAAGTGTATGCCTGGACAGCTGTGTTTATATTACCGATCAACTCTGCCCTGAACCCCGTGCTCTACACCTATTCTGGTATCAGACGTCAAAAAGTAAGTAGCAAAGCATTTGAAAAAAGACACATGTTATGTAGGTTATCCTCCTTTCTTTTTTAATGGATACGTGACGTCTTTCCTGTTATTTTAATATCTCCTCTTTTCTTGTTATTGTTTTTGCCTTCTTTATCGAACCCAATTTAGTTCCGGTTTTGTTCTTACGTGTTGAAACTACGTATACTTTCTGTTAATTCTCTTCTTGTTCAACAAGACGAATAGAGGAGATACCAAAAAAACAACTGAAAAAAGATTCCTCTATCTCTAAAATGGCATCCTGGTCAAATGTAGAGAAAATGTTTAAGATGAAACTAACATTCTTTTATATCTATCTTTTTTTTCTACATCTTCCATTAAAATGATATATTTCCGATGCATTTCATATCAAAGTTTAAATGCAATAAAGATGTGTAAAGACATTATGAGTATATATTTAACTGATGAAAGACAATACTTAAAAGTTAATTAAAACAATTGTATAAAGTATAGTGAATATTTATGAATGCAAGAAGTTTAATGTTTATCTACACGTATGTTTGTAAAAATCAAGATTTTCTGTATCATTGTTTTGTAGAAAAATCTACCAATAAGCTCGAGGAATATGTTCAATCGCTCTTCGTCATGTAAGTTACCTGGACATTAGTTTGGAATTGTGTAGAAGAGCATTTAGAATCATACTAGTGATCATGGATAAACAATATATATATATATATACATTTAAGGACGTGCCAGGTTTTGGTGACCCGCGACCCAGTGGTGGAGGGCTAGAGGTAGCAGAATGTCAGACGTTTTAACCACTTGGCCACCGCGGCCCCCGGTATTGGTCATGTAGCACTCACTACTTTTACTTTTACTTATAATTACTTTTTGACCGTTACTTTCTAATATATGAAAAACTTTTTATCACATCGCTATAAAAAAGGAAAGAAATTTCGGTCTGAAATAAGTTGATATTGATAGCGTGTGCATCTATATTTAGCGAGACTTTCGATTGCTTCTTTCTCGTCTATTTTAGGACGTTAATGAAACCTCTTGAAGTACATATTTATTTTGCACTTTGTGATTTAAACATCATGGTCTCAAGAATAGTTACAGTATGTAAGACTGTTTTTGGGGAGATTGGTAGCCCTAAAAATGGCCGTTTTATGGGTTTCTTGGTCAGGTCTCAAGTCCGTGTTTAACTGAATCCGTAAAGGGTACTTCCCTGCCATCAAATGCATAACTACAAAATATACTTTTTTTTAAATCTTTTATTAATCAGTTAGAAATGTGTTCCTCTGTTCAACAGCGTTTGTTACTCAATATGCCAAGTGGATTGACATTTGCAAAAGTGACCATTTTATCATTGGCGCCAGTATTTCTTGTCATGTGACCCTGCGGGATTACATGCAGACGACGACGCCCTCCGCCAGACGCATATATGAGATTATATCTGACTTGATGAAACATCTGACTTTTCTGCATAAACGAAATCTGGTTCATGGTCGTTTAAATGAGGACACCGTAATTATCACCATGGATCGTGTAAGTATGAGAAAAATGAACATAAAATGTTTTCGGTGTCACCATCATTATAATTTTCTATTTCCATTGGGTGTTTAGATGAAATGAAAAATAAACATATAAGTAAAATAAAAAATGGGAAAATACATGAAAAAAGCAATGATTATAATAACCATGGCTTTCAGGATCCCTTTACCATTGCCAAAACTGTAACTATCCATTGACAATGTTTTCCCCAGCTTGATTATGGCTTTTATAAAGAAACTATACATTGCGTGTTTTAAGAGGCAAATGGACCAGACCAAGGTTCGAACCCTGGACCTCCGATCATTATATTGTAACTCTTAACAACTGAGCTTCATGGTCAATGGGATCATTTGGCACTATAGTTATGCCCAAAAGAAAATAAAGAGAAACTTATATATATAACTTCAGTATATTTCCCTCATATTTACCCGAGGTGGGACAGGGATTCTTAAATATCTAAACACGGATTATAAGACATTCATGATCAAAATGACTGCGATTGGGTCCTTAACTACACACAGAAATACGTCTTCATGCACATATAAACATGGGATATGAGACATTCATGACCAAATTACTGCAATTTACAACAATCTTTTGTATTTCATCGATGTGCAGGAACGACTAAGGGCATACAGTCGGATTGACTTGACCATTGTAGAAGTAGAGGATAAAGATGGAAGTGGGGATATGGAAAGTTTCGGACAACTGACCAGATCATTACTTCGATGGTACCAGAAGGCCCAGAGATTGACAACTGACCAACATGGATGTTTAGTCGAAAGAAAAGAGCAGAGACATGGACATTTGCTGTCAAGTGACCTGAACAATTACTTCACTGGTACCAGAAGGCCCAAAAATTGATCACTGACCAATAGAAATGTTTAGTCTAGATATTTACGCTTCGTGTTATTTATGGTCAAGATATCGTAGGTCTGCAATGTGAACTCAGAAGTGAAGCGTTAAATCAAGATTTGATGTCATTATTGTAAGCACAGTTATGTTTTGATTGATATTGTATAAAAGAATATATTATGATCTGCAATTTAGTTCAATGTAAAATCTACTTCAGTTTGTTCCATGTTAGTTGTTCGGAGATAACAGGTTTACGGAGAATTTAAATCATTTGAAAAAGCCAAAAACTAACCATTTGCGAAGGTGTTTTCTTTGTTTAATGGTGATGACTAAAGCCATGGTAGGCCTGAAATCCACAATCATTTATAAGTTCACAAAATGTATTACGACAGAAACACTGTTTATCTATAATGATGTTATTCGGCGGTAAAGTCCTTACGTGTAAGTAATTGATTGGTTAATAACATAGGATAATGGAACGATGTTTTCTTTTTCATTTGTTTGTTTGTTTGTTTGTGTTTTACGTCCTATTATAAGCTATGGTCATTTAAGGACGCCAGGTTTTGTTGGCGGAGGAAAGCCGGAGTTCCGGAAGAAAAAACACCGACCTACTAGCGACTGCCACACGTAGGTCTCAAACCCGTGACCCAGTGGTTGAGGGCTAGTGGTAGCAGAATGTCAGGCACCTTAACCACTTGNCGAAGAAAAAACACCGACCTACTGCCAGTACCTAGCGACTGCCACACGTAGGTCTCAAACCCGTGACCCAGTGGTGGAGGGCTAGTGGTAGCAGAATGTCAGGCACCTTAACCACTTGGCCACCGCGGCCCTACTCTTGTACAAATATGAACATATATATCAACCGTATTAAATTAAATATTTATATTGTTTTACTTTATCAAAATGATGATGTAGTTGAAATCCAATTGATACCATTAGGTATAAACGTTTTTTTTTTTTTTTAATAATATGTATGGTTCATTGGTTTATCCAGATTAAATTGCTATTGACTGCTTGTATGTTGTTTTGCTTCTAATAAAATCTGCAGCTTTGATTTTCCGAATTTATTTGTTTGTAATATGATAAGATATTTCTTAAAATGAGGATTTTTGATGCAACAGTATCTCTTTACTCCGTTCCACTGGTAGTTACTACAGAAGGGGTGGATACGTCATTATAAAGGCACCTATGAGAGCCATTGCGTTTTTCTCATGACGAAGTCAAAGGCCCATAATTTACTATTTGATTTATTGACCAATCATAAGGCTGACGATGGTACCTGTTATTTGAATATTATCCAAAAGCAGCCAGTTTTACCGTTACGCTGCCGTGCGATTTATTTTGTTATTAATCAAAATATTGCTATGAGATTACAGGTATGAAGTATTCTGTAACAGTTTCCATACTAGTCAACAAATATCATCCACAAGTTGGTGCACTTATTGACTTCGGTTCTTCATGAGAACTCAAGAGAGTTTAGATTTAGAAGACATACAAAAGTATGAAAAGTATTCTTCTGAACTGTTAGTTATTTCACTTCAGTTGAATAAGTATACCAATAATCTGATAATCTTAAGTTAAAATAGCGCTTGTCATAACTAGTTCTGTAAGGTTGTTCTTGCTGTGTAGTTTTTTTGCGGATTGGCAATATTGAGATACTTATTGGTACAGTTGTCAAGGCGGAGTTCTTTGTAATATTTATCGTAAGCCTATTTACGGGGTATCTTCCGTTAAGATGATTAACAGACCCTCAAAATATGTATATCAAATAAAATACACATAAGAGAATTTACAGTATTTTGAAGGCAGACACTTCAGTTATGATTTGGTCGAAGGCCTTGTGGTTAATTTCAGTCGATTCAGTGCTTTTATAAACGAACATATGTTTTTCTTCCTGGTGGACAGCAATGAAACAGTATCATCAATGCATATTTTTTTGATAGTAAAATTTTAATTTACAAACTCTTTTTCAGTAATAATTTAACTCAAACTTGTAAATCGTGCCGAAAGCCAGCAGATTTTTTTATATTCATTTTTTAAATTAAAAACTATTTAAAAATACAATGCATATTCAGATTGATTCAATTATAATTGCAAATAAATACGATGCTTAGTAACATACATGTTTAATGATGAAATCATATAGTTATTATTTTTATATACACAATAACTACCCCATAATTAAGTACATTGAAGTTAAAAGTAAAAAACTGATAAATGAATAAACGTATTTTTTCATATTATAATCAACATTGTGAACCTGCACAGATACCAAATTATAGCAATGTCGTTTCATATTCATACCTATGGACATTGACATTTCACTTCAATATTGGATAAAAGGCTGGAATTATGTACACTTAAATATAGTATCACTTATAATAACCCCGGTGATATTTCCTATGATGGGATTTATCAGTACATCTAGAGAACAAACAACTGAGACAGATAATCGGTCAATTTACGAAAACAATTATCATTACTCATCGTCGTATAATCCAGGCCATAGCATTGTTAAACAACATGTCCGCTAGGATGCTGCTCTTGCTGACGTTCGTGGGATGCTGCATGGCAGGTAAGCTTGTCACACGTATAATAATAGTATTTGCCATGCATTGTATATTGTGTGCATGTGTCGTTTACTCAATGAAGGTCGTGACATCAGAGTTCTTGTACAACTTTTCCGGCTTTCATAAAGATACATTGAACTAAATTTAAAACTACCCTAGAACACTTTTTGTTTCGGATGTTTTTTGTAAATAGCACAGTAAGTGCACTACACAGAGGTTGAGCTTGGATAACAATGCCTGTAGTTGATTATTCAAAAACAGCTGTACTTGGTCATGTAGATTTGAACTTGAAAGGCCGTATGGTGAGAGATGTCTATGTGTGAGACTTGTGTGAGACTTTTTATCGTTAAAACTATTTTCAATTCAAAATCTCCACACGACATATAAGATACTTAATAAAAATTCCATTTGCTTGTACAAGGTAGATGGCTTCTTCCTTGTCTTATGTTCATTGGATACTGACGATACCAGCAATAGAACGTCTGTATCCCAATACATGTATGTTGTGAGAGGCAACGGATATGGGTCTCTTGCAGAATCAGGAGTTTCTTCCATGTCTTCTATCAAATTGGTCTGCAACCCTCATTTCAACATTTTAGTATCGTTTTTGGTTCTTTTCTTTTCTGTCTACTTTCTATCCCATCTACTTTCTCTTTAAGGGGGAGTCTCCCTTTGTTACCGTCTGGCTGTTGCGAGGCCGTTAAACAAATAAACAAACGAACATTAACAAACAAACAATTCTTTCTGGCAAAAGCCCATGCTAGATAACTGGCTTCTGAGATACTTCACGCTGTATAAAAGCGTTATCAATCTTGTTATAGTTAAAATATAATATTCAATGATTAAAACAAAATCAAATAAATGACAAAATTATATTTGCTAATGTATTTTGTATCCTCATAAATGTTCATTTCAATCGTAAAAACGTGTTTGAGCTTTAGATTTTTAGGTCATCTGAGACAAAGTCTGAGGGGCGGGGCCAACAATGGTCAAATTGACAAAAAAGATCAAAAATCTTCTTCTCACGATCCAGATACTGTAGAGTCAAATACTTTTCATATATGGAAGGGTCTTTAGGTGCTTAACCAAAATTGTGAATTTCATGACACTGGGTCACACGTTTCCCCCTGACTTTACTATAGTTTATATAGGGAAATCACATTTTGGACCAACATTTGTTTAATTTCCATTTGAAGTAATTCAATTTTTGTTAGCATTATCAGTTTTGGATAGCAGTTTGATGGTATGCACATTTCAGCCCTGACTGATCCCCAGGGGCTGATGGGTGGGGCCAAAAAGGCTTGAATTGACTGAAATTTCATATATCTTCTCCTCAAGACCAAGATATGGTAGAATCAAATACTCTTCATAGATGGAAGGGTCTTAAGGTGTTTTACCAAAATTGTGAATTGTATGACCCTAGGGTCTCACGTTTACCCCTGGGGAAGGGGGGGGGGGCAAAATGTATTATGGCTTATATTGGCAAATGATACTTTGAATATTACATGTTGATAACTTGATTGGAATTATAACCCTTAGTTGACAGTTTGATACTTTGAAAATTTTAAGCCGGCTCTACCCCTAAGGGCTGTAGGGCGGGGCCCAAAGGAGTCAGTGTGCTAAAATGTCTTCATTTTCCTTGTTTAGAATCAGAGGTGCTAGTTTTTCAGTCTTAAATCTGTATGCTAGATATTGAATAAGGTGGGTTTATTGTTTATTGTCACTTTGAATAATATTTCTGTTCATGTTTTAAAAACAAAAATCAACTCTCTGTATAAATATATCAGAACTCAGGTGACCGTTAAGGCCCGTGGGCCTCTTGCTAATCTACATTTTGTATCCGAATCTTGTATTTATGGACAAATGGTGATTACTATATACTATGTTCCCAATATGCATAGTATGATGTCCTTTGATAACTTGTCACGTTCTCCGAACATTTTCACTCTTTAGCTTTACTTGATGAACAAGATGTTGACACTAGAACCGTTGACTCCCTTCTCACCTACCTTGACCACGAGATGACCTCTGACCTCTCCGACGATGAATTTATGCATTACATAGTGACGAACGCTACCATTAGCAACGAGACATACCATGTCATCGAGGAGTCGGCTGGCTGATCGGACATTTTCGATTGTCCACGTTCGGGAGTACCAACTTCTCCTGCCGGATCTCCACAAAAAGGCTACTATATTTCAGCTGGCCTTCTACGTAAACAATGCAGGTTTGTTGTTTTCAATATAGTTTGAATTGCAAAGTTCCGCTTGAAGGTTCAGTCTAAAGAATATAATATCACCAAGTTATTCTGATAGGAATGTGTCAAGTTCAAGTAATATGAACATATTGGAATTCACATTTGTTTTCAATTATACAAAGAATTTTCTAAAGTTTTCTTTTCGTTATATACAAATATTTAATCAATTGTATGATAACTGGTTAAAATCATATTTAAAAAACTTCAAACTTAATAGTTTATGATTTAGAGTCGATGTCATCGATGAAACACGTTGTGTAACAGTTGTAATGGCTAGAACGTGTTTTTCTTTGTTTTCTGTTGTTTTCCCTACGAATCCACTTACTGTTCCAATGCTATCCTTGTGTGTTGAACATGGGGAATATTTCCCCTATATTACCCAGGCTAATTCGCTTTCTCTCTAGATACATAAAGGAGTTGATGTCATGTTACGTGCAGTACGATTATACAGACTGTCCGTACGTGACTGGAATGATAAAACAGTTAACCCCAGTGTACCGGTACATGTGTAGGGAACCCGGCAGGACTGGTATGTATCACACTTTGGTCAGAAGTACGGCTACCGTGACAGAATACTTAAAAGCTACAGTTTTTGTGTGTCTGAAACTTTCGTATCTCTGGTCGAACGTCGCGGTCGGTCGGCATGGTCGCATGCGCATTTGCACCAACGTTGGTCCAACAGACGATAACGCAGTTTACCATTGTAATCAAATATGTGTATCTGAGACTTTTGTATTTCCTCTTATGCAACAGAATATTCGCTTACTGTAGCTCTAGTTGTATCTGTGGCTATGGACGCTATTGCAAACGGAAAATTGTCACTGAGGCTTTAGATTCATCACGACTGCAATCGAGTTAGTGACGTTTTACAGTTTTAGTTTTACCACTGCAGTAACCGAGTTCTATATACTCCAATGATATTAAGTTTGTCCAAAGATGTTCTCCATAATTTCCAATAAAAAAATGTTATGTAAAAACATGGCAAAATTGACTGGACATTAGGATACTTTCTCCATGCAAAAGTTTAACTGCTTTTTATGGCAACAATACTGACAAATGCAAATAAATAAAGAAACAGTGATATGAAATCCAATTAATGGTTTTAAAAGAAAGATCATTCTAAAAGATGTTTTAATTAATACATTTCCGGTTAAAGAGTGTATTAAACGAGGGCGTATTCTTGAGGGTAAACGTGTGCTAGGATAATCGCTGTCGGTGTGAGGTTTAATACAAGCTGTTATCTTAAACAATGACTGCAGCAGGTAAAAAACTGTTTGTATTTGTAGAGATCCTGAATTTTCTGCCATGCGCCAACAACTATGATATCCAGGTTAAGATGTTTGAGACTTACATCAAGTTCGTGTCCGCTATTTGGATAATAGTCAACTGGCCAGACCCCGTAGAGGACGCGTATAACACTATGATATGCAGGTAAATTAGTACTTATCTTGTTTATTTTACTACACACGTTTTATAAAGTTATTTCTTGAAATTCAACTTGAATAATAAGCATCCTGGTTTCAAAAACTCAAAAACTTGTCCGAGTTTGTTTCGGAAAGAAAAAGCCAAAATAACAAAAAAGCAGAAAAATTACAAAAACCCATAACAAATATTTCACTGTTTTAGCGAGAATAAATAAAAAAAGTCTTAATCGTTATGATTAAGTATATGTAATCACGGATTAAGTTCAAATTTTAGAAATTGTTTACCAAAATTGTATTATCTAGAGTATAGTTATGTTATTAATTATTTAAAACATTTCTGATTTATCTTCTTATGTTGGTGTCATTTTCTGACCTTTTGCTTCCAATGATAGTAACTAGCCGTGAATAGGTATCTCAGTGTGTTAGGTCTTGCCGAAATAATAATCACAAACCAGGTTGATATCATAGAACAGTCTATCAATGTTTATAATCGTGTTGAATTGCGGCTCAACATAACCGCGAAATTCGTGAAAATAACACGCCCGAGAAAATCAGATCGTGTATGTGAGCACATTATATTGTTTTGATTACTCTATTTTCAAGAGCGTTTTTTGAGTTCAAAAGTGAAACAGATGAATCCATTGGGGAGCATTGTAGTGCAGAGGACGTGACCACGTTTGGAGAGTTTTATTCAGCCATGACGTCGAAGATGTTGTCAAAACATTCATGCGATGAGGATCATTTGAATCACTAAGGTATTTAACAAAATGTATATACTATTTTGTTTCAAAAAGTCATTCTTATACTGCCTTTTTTTTAAATCCAAAAAACTATCAGAACATGGAAATTTATAATAAATGATGCACGTTATTTAAAGCCGGAAATAACTGGCATATTTGATATATAATGATCATAAAGATTGTGACATATATATTGTTAACAGTTAGTGATCACTCAGTAATCAAATCAGAAGGATTAGAGCTGTAAAATCCCAGTCACTTGAGCGTTTGATTAATTGTCTAAGTTAAAACAGGGTGTCCCTGACAAATACGAAATCACGTCATACCAACTCCATGTTTTCATTGCTTGTATGCAAATTGATTAAACCTAACAAAAATGACTTTGAAAGGTGTCATCAATACTTGTATACCTATAAACTGTGTCACAGAAAAAAAACCGTGTTCAAATCACCAGCCTTAAAGTACATCCCAAGTTCAAAGGATATTGATACGATTTATCTCCCCTTCTACGTTCTCATTCAAGGCCCGGTCACCATCCACCGTGCGTGTTTTTAGTCCGTACGTTTTTTGGGGAGGCCACGGCCGCCACGTTTTTCTGAAAACGTGGGGACGGAGTGGCAAGAGCAGGGAGAGGGTACGTCAACGCACGTCACTCGCACGGTTGCGCAAGGTGTAAGTACGTGGCCCGGACGCCACGCGTACGTTGCAGACGTGGTAAGTGAGTTGTACGTGCTTACAACTTTGCTTACAACGTACGATCTCCGTGCGATTGCCACGGTATCGTACGGAGGCCGTACTTACACGTGCTGCTCACGTACGATGCCAAATTTTGCCACGTTTTCGCAAGTAGACAGCACTTGCAAGTATGGCGGGTTGGGACCACGGCTTTACGCGATGCTAGTGTTACACCAATGAGCAAAACTGGGGTTAAAATTGCATTCCTGATGAAACAGGTAAACACACTATTGCTAGCTTTTATCGTATGAATTTGATTCGAATGTTGGAAGTGGAATTTTGTGACTGCTTTTTATTTACATGTACAATGAAGGAAAGAAGGTATTGGTGGACCGCAAAGATGCGGATTTCATGAAAATTAAATGAAAATTAAAACTCGAAAATTTTATTAAATGAAAACAAATGAAAACTGAATGAAAATTAAAAAACGTTTTCCTGGCAAAATAGTGTAAGTTTTATTTGTTTCTTTATTTTTTTTCTGTACCTCTGACGTAGTATACATAAATCATTAAAACGCAAAGAAAGATCTAAAACATCAACTTAAACGATAATGATAAAATCAATTAATTACGAAGTCATGAACCGCTGACGACATGCTGTTAACAATTTATTATTTACAATTAGTGCCATCTATGAAAAAACGCCGACTGTGATAGCTTTAATTGTGTTCGTAAATTAAAAGAAGTGGTAATGACAAAATCGATACATTACGGAGTCATTAAACCACAGTCTCCATATTTTGTTTACGTATTTATTATTTATATAACTGCCAAGAAAACATAATCGATAAGAAAACAAGGTAAAGTTGGAACAATCATTACAAAGAGAGCGTATGACGTTGATTGTAGGTGGTTTGTTTAGCGTGTTGTGTAGGAGCTATACACAAAATATTCTAGTTTCAACTGCCTGCCATTCAATGTTCAATTTATAACAAGATACATTTACGAATAAATTAAATCTGCCTTTGAATGAATAAACCCGGGTGTTCGATAAGTACAGGTATGTATACAGTAGAACCTCGATATCGTGCCCCTCCTCATTTGCCACCAACATATTTCACTTTTTCTCTTTTTTCTTTAGAAATCCTTTATATGTCCTTCCATCGATTTATGGCCAAACCCCTTTACAATGCCAAATTTTCGCTGGACAATGGGTTGCAGTGTAAGGAAGTTTTACTGTACGTTGAAAATTTGACAACCGGCAGATAACGGCAAAAAGTAATTTACACAGAAGGTGAAAAACGTAATTTTAACTCGGGTTTTTCGAAGGGTAAGCATCGTCTGTTTCATCGACTATATCCGTGATATAAATCTGAGTCGAATCCGAGTAATGTCACATTCTCAATGAACGAACCGGGGTAGTAACAATAAAACCATAAGGAACTCATACGAGTATAATAAAAAACAATGTCGATACTCAAATCGCGAAATTAGGAAGATTCTTTTTCAATATGCATCTCTCGAAACCCTGGCTTGAACGTTTGTCCGTCAGAGTTCGACATCTATTACAGAAATTGTTATGTTTGGAGCAAGCCCATGGATATCGATTCACCTGCGACATGTAAGACTATTTTCTTTTTTATTGCAGTTATTAATCAAATTGATGAGCAACAACTTCCTCTAGTGTTCAAAACAAAGAAAGTCGTGGAAAATGATTTGGTGAGGCAGCGTGAGCGTAGCCGTACCTTCCTCCTGACTTGCCGTAACAAACTAGGGATGAATCCGTCAACACCGCACCGACAGACGGATTTTGTATGAACTTGTTTACATATATTCATGACTTCTAAGTCACTATTTATGGTCTAACGGAGACGCCGCATGTCTTCGAAAGTCTAGCGCAGCATGCGATAGATTTACGGAGCGAGAAAACAAGTAACTGGAACATATATTAGAAGTATCTTGTGTACTCTCGTGGCGTTATTTAGACAAAGCTGAAGGTCGTTTGTAAAAAATGTGCCCTTGTAGAATCTAAATTTATAGGTTGACATTTGGTTAGACAGTTCTCGTGAAAATTGTGACGTCATCATCTGGTGACCATATGGTGGTCATACATTTTAATAGAAAATAAGGTCTCTAGATGCATCGTAAGCCGATCGCATGTTGACATTTGCGACAGATTAGATTGCTGACATTTTGTATGTCAACTAGGTAACAGCCGTAGTTACATTTACTGTGATAAAAAGTAAAACAAATCGGGATATTTCTCATAAACTGTAACGGTATACTTTTTTTGTTAAATGTGCGTAGTCGTAATGTAGGTATATTGAATGTATTCCGTTCAATCTTATATCAGATTATTTCCCGATTTACCAATGTTAAGTTCATACCTCAGTGGGCAAAGTAAATATAATAACGGGATTGGTTTATTTCCGGATTTTCCGTATTAGTAACTCGGCGGTACGGCCATGCCTTTGATATTTCTCCAATGTTTATTTGATTCTGTGAGAGCTGACATTATGACATTAACCAGAAACTTCTGTATCACCCACACTCGATGGATATTCTGAGGAAATGAGTTTTTATGTACAAAATAAATTACAGATTCTGAAATCATTAAATAGAAAACTGCATACGAATTGTCATTGCAGGACAAATTCATTCCAGATCGAGCTTTTCCAGTCATTTTTTCTCTTCAATTTTATTGACGGTCTGTGTTCAACCAAGTGCCATGCTGCTCTTTCGAAAACGCATACTTAATCTGACAAGGAAAACGTTATAAAACGAATTACTTAAATGGAATTGATTAAATGGCAAACAGGCGTTTAAATTGTTGCGACGTTACAAATTATACACTGCATTGGACAGCCACGGGTCTACATGTCATCTGGTGACAGAAAACACATGACTACTTTACAATTGTCGTAAAAATTATTGTAGGAATATTCTGTTGCCCGTAAAATATAACGACTGATTGGTCAGGTTTTCGGAGTCGAGCTAATTTTATCAATAACAAGTAAAACTCAATTTAAGTGGCGACGTGCATTACAGATAGCCTGGGTCCTGAAGACATAAAAACATTTTTTACGAATGAAACCGGGACAGAAAAGCACAAGACGAACTATGAAAGGGAGTAACCGGTAGAGTTAAGGACTTCCCACCCTTCGTAAAACACATTCCAGTTTTTCTTGTCGTATTTTCGTGTCGTCATTTCCGTATTGCATATCGGGCATTCCATTACCGTAGTGTAAATTATAGTATTACCGGGTAAACAAAAGTACACGTGAGTGACGATGATATGTCAACACCCGATAATCACACGTACTTCTAAAATAAAGCTTATGATAGAAAGACATAAATTAACTCACAGGAAGACACTGACATAAGATCAGACGACTTTTAGAAGGTCGTATTTGAGGCGCATGGGATGCAGACTGATGTGTTTTGTTTACCAACCTCACCTGTACATTGTACGTATCACGTGCTAACAGTAGTTCACAAGCTCTTGGCCGTTACGACTTTTGTTGTCGAGCGAGTTACGCTCTGTCAGATAAATCGTTTCACAAATGCAATTACAATAACTCTGTGAAAATATTGGTTTGTAAAATATCAAGATCCCTATAAAATGCAAGTGCATGTGCGTGCACGTGATAACGGCATACCATGCGATAGCCTATGGTTACATATGTACATGACATGTAAAAGAGGGCTATGGAATGATGTCCAAAGTGTACATGATTTAGAATAATTTTGTTCCATAAGAGAACAGTAACTTGACAATTAAATATAGTAATTCAATTTATTTCCGTCGTTTTTTGTATAGTAAAGAAAATAAGTGTCATTGTATAAATATATCCCTCATCAAAAAGTTCTGATCGTTTTCAAGGTAGACAACTCTCATCAGGATCAAAATTATTGTAAAATGTAAAATAAATGAATTTTAAAGACTTTGTGTGTTATTTGGTTCAATTTTTCACTCTTTTTGTATGACACTATGTGTCCTGTTTGCTTTAAGCTTATCTTTAATAACTTTTATCCATAAAATTTCAATAAAAAACGCTTTTTGTAACATGTTGTAGATATTTTATGATAAATAAAATATTTGTAGGGTTGATTAGCAATGTTTGTTTTCATTATTTTATTGTTGTAATAGTTTTGAACAGTACCACACACTCAAAAAAATGAGAAAGTGTTGAATTTGACAAAAAAATATTTTTTTGGTAAAAAATCCAGATTATCAGAATGCTTAGATTTTCATAAAATCATCTCTACATATTGACATAACCATAATGTGAAACTTTCATTGAATTCTGCTGGCTAATTGCGAAAGGGTGGAGCCACCTTAAGACGAGAATCATATGATATTCTTCGAATCTCCGTCGTACCAATATCGTTCAAACCTAGGTCGTTAAATTATAAGTTTGATTTGCAATTGACCTTAGAATCTGATTCTGACGTCATAATTGATTGCTCCTCTGACGTCATCGTACTGTTTCTTTACGCGCGCCATCTGTCATACCTAAGGAGGTGACGAAGAAATTATACCCTGGGGATGACAGTGAAATCTAAAAGAAACAAGACAGAACATAATTAAGTGAAATGTGGGAGAAAAGGACATCAAATTTCACACTATATATAATATCATGACACTTTAATCTATATAGCAAGAACTTGTTTAAAGGTTTAGATCGACTTTGTTGAAAACATATCATATGCTATACCCTTATCGGCCCATCAGCACTAATAGGATCATATGCGTCCACATGGTAGAAAAGTTCTGAACGTCAGGGGCATCAAGAGGAACAACGAAGCATACAAAATGTAGATACATCAGATGGAAATGAAATCTTATAAATCTTTCTTTTCGAAGTAGGTACAGCAGATCTACTTGTGGTTGCATTATTTTTTCTAACTTAAACCACAGAAGGAGTTCTTCGATTCTACTTGGCGGCGAATTTAAGCCTTGTATTTTTTTGCATCGGGGTACAGCTAGTCTATGTTTCCCTTTAGTGAAAGAAATGTTTATTTTTCCGCCAAGAAACTGTAGCTACCTTTTCTCAGTAAATGATGATCCTAAGTGGATGAAGTTGCACTTGGATGAGAAGTGTACCTTTTTGTAATACGGTCATGTTATGATAGAACGGAGTGGCTATGGACACAGCTTAGTTTATATTTTCCATACCTATATTAAACCATGTCATATAATGAACGTCTAGAGACATTAATTTTCATTTGAAGTCTGCATAACGAAAAGCTAATTCCGCTGCAATGTGTAATGACACACGGTGGATGTTACTGAACAGTTCTGAGAAAGTCGTTATTGGAATTCTGTAAAATTTATTTACGGTATATTTTACCATTGGGTATATATAATCGTTTTATCCACACTTACACTACGGCTTAAGGAGGCAATTGTCCTTCTTGGTTAAAGGCTGTGTATTTAAATACTAGGACACAGTTTGACATCTGTGAAGCCAGAGTACTCAAAACAGGACTCTTACGGGAAAACTGCCGCAGAAATTGGAATGACAAGCGAAGAAGTGTTTTCTATCTATGCGGTTTTCATAATGCGATACTTTTATGTCAATTAAAATGTGAATCAGCTCAATTGGCAGCTGATTATGGTTACATGGACTGTTTCAGGTTGGAAATAACTGCAAAAACTTTCTTTATCAACATGCCATACGACGTTATTTATTTGAATATTAATTTCAGACACCTAACTGATTCTTCACAGCTTACGTTAGTTTGGAGACGAAATTAAATCATAACCTCTTGTGACTTATGAACTATAGGTAATTTTACTTACATTGATGCTCCTTTCTAGTTAAACCTATTCAACAACCCAGGTGATAATGACCCTGATAGTATTTTGCGTTCTATTTATCGAACCACGTGTCAAAAATGTCATCTTGAAAGAGAAAATAAACGTGGACGATATCTATTCATGTAAAATTAACAAACCTATTTGGAACTGTCGCTATGGAATGAGATACATCAATATCAACAAAAAACTGTCCCGTGTGCGTACAATTACGGTAATACCAGGACATTGGCAGCCGGCAAAAGGTCTATAACTTATGCAGGCAACCGTAACATGAGAACGAAGGGAGATAACTGAGATCGGGATAAAAGGAGACTACTGTTAGCTAGGCTAACAGTGATAAATCTAATACTAGAACACAGAGAGTAAACAATATTCAAAGGTAACAGTATTAATAGGACATAAGGAAACAAGTCTATACTATTGTATGTAAAGAGACAACAAAATTAATGGGACAAACGGAAACAACTGTAAATGCAATAGGTAATAAGGACGCAAAAGCTGGATATAAGAAGATAAACATATGACAAAGGGGGACTACAGTATTACTAAGACAAAGGTAAAATACAGTATTGCCAGGACAAAGGGAGACTACGTTATTACTAGGACAAAGGGAGACTACATTATTACTAAGACAAAGGGAGACTACAGTATTACTAGGACGAATGGAGACTACAGTATTACTATGATAAAGGGAGACTACAGTATTACTAGCACAAAAGGAGACTACAGTATTACTAAGGCAAAGGTAAAATACAGTATTACCAGGACAAAGGGAGACTACATTATTACTAGGATAAAGGGAGACTACAGTATTACTAGCACAAAAGGAGACTACAGTATTACTAGCACAAAAGAAGACTACAGTATTACTAAGACAAAGGTAAAATACAGTATTACCAGGACAAAGGGAGACTACATTATTACTAGGACAAAGGGAGACTACATTATTACTAGGATAAAGGGAGACTACATTATTACTAGGATAAAGGGAGACTACAGTATTACTAGGACAAAGGGAGACTACAGTATTACTAGGACAAAAAGAGTCTACAGTATTACTAAAACAAAGGTAGACTACAGTTTTACCAGGAACATGAGAGACTACAGTCTTACTAGCACAAAAGGAGACTACAGTATTACTAAGGCAAAGGTAAAATACAGTATTACCAGGACAAAGGGAGACTACATTATAACAAGGATAAAGGGAGACTACAGTATTAATAAGACAAAGGTAAAATACAGTATTACCAGGACAAAGGGAGACTACAGTATTACTAGGACAAAGGGAGACTACAGTATTACTAGGACAAAGGGAGACTTCAGTATTACCAGGAAAATGAGAAACTACATTATTACTAGTACAAAGGGAAAATACAGTATTACCAGGCAAAAGGGAGACTACATTATTACTAGGACAAAGGGAGACTACAGTATTACTAAGACAAAGGGAGGATACAGTATTACTAGGACAAAGGGAGACTACAGTATTACTAGGACAAAGGCAGGATACAGTATTACTAAGACAATGGGAGGATACCGTATTACCAAGAAAATGAGAGACTACAGTATTACTAGGACAAAGGAAAAATACAGTATTACCAGGACAAAGGGAGACTACATTATTACTAGGACAAAGGGAGACTACAGTATTACTAAGACAAAGGGAGAATACAGTATTACTAGGACAAAGAGTAAATACAGTATTACCAGGACAAAGTCAGGATACAGTATTACCAGGACAAAGGGAAACTTCATTATTACTAGGACAAAGGGAGACTACAGTATTACTAAGACAATGGGAGGATACTGTTTTACCAAGAAAATGAGAGACTACAGTATTACTAGGACAAAGGGAAAACACAGTATTACCAGGACAAAGGGAGACTACATTATTACTAGGACAAAGGGAGACTACAGTATTACTAAGAAAAAAGGAGACTACAGTATTACTAGGACAAAGGGAAAATACAGTATTACCAGGACAAAGGCAGGATACAGTATTACCAGGACAAAGGGAGACTACATTATTACTAGGACAAAGGGAGACTACAGTATTACTAAGACAATGGGAGGATACCGTATTAGCAAGAAAATGAGAGACTACAGTATTACTAGGACAAAAGGGAAAATACAGTATTACCAGGACAAAGGGAGACTACATTATTACTAAGACAAAGGGAGACTACAGTATTACTAAGACAAAGGGAGACTACAGTATTACTAAGACAAAAGGAGACTACAGTATTACTAGGGCAAAGGGAAAATACAGTATAACCAGGACAAAAGGAAAATACAGTATTACCAGGACAAAGGGAGACTAAATTATTACTAGGACAAAGGGAGACTACATTATTACTAGGACAAAGGGAGACTACAGTATTACTAAGACAATGGGAGGATACCGTATTACCAAGAAAATGAGAGACTTCAGTACTACTAGGACAAAGGGAAAATACAGTATTACAAGGACAAAGGGAGACTACATTATTACTAGGAAAAAGGGAGACTACAGTATTACCAGGACAAAGGGAGACTACAGTATTATTAAGTCAAAGGTAGTCTACAGTATTACTATTACAAAAGCAGATTACAGTATTACTAGGACAAAAGGAAAACAACAGTATTACTAGGACAAAAGGAAGACTACAGTATTACTAGGATAAAGGGAGACTACAG